TGTGTGTGTGTCTGTGTGTGTAGGTTGCAGTTATAACACAACATAACGATGTACGATATTGTGGTTTATATATTTTCCTGTGATAATATTTTGATTATTTGCTTCCTGTATGCATGTTTACTATTGCCAAATATATCCAATGTACTCAACTTATTATTATATGTCCCAAACATTCGATTCAGCGGGGACCGACTGCCGGCGTTAGTACGTGATCGCGTTTTAGCAAAGACCTGCTTATGACGAGAGGCTCTCACATGGGCTCTCAAGGGCACGGAATATGTTATTTTATTTAATATTTTTATACAATCATATTTGTTATTACAGATATCAAACAACAACATAGCCTCCAGTTGTACTCTTCTAGACTTGAGATCAAGTAACTTATATAACTTAAGCAGTGCCTTGTAAGGTAATTGTTTACGAAGACATTTAAAATTAGTACAACGTAGAAACTTCTTTTGTACCCTTTCTAAGCCATTTTCATATTTTTGGTAAATTGGGTTCCATATAGCAACAGCGTACTCAAGTTGCGGCCTTATTAAAGATTTAAAGAGATAGGTAAAGGTCGATGGATTTCTGAATTCACTGGCTGACCTCATGACAAATCCGTACATTTTAAAGGCGTTATTAATAATATTTTCTATATGAATATCAAAGTGTAATTTGTTGTCTATAGTAATACCCAAGTCTCTGATAGACTGCACTTTCTCAATGTTAGTTCCACACAGTGAATATGTGTAATTGCTAACTACTTTTTTTTTACTAAAGCTAATACTTTTACATTTGTTAAGACTAAGCTCCAATTTGTTTTCGAGGCAATATAGGCTGAATCTATCCAGGTCTTCTTGAAGATAGATGTGGTCTTGATAGTTATTTATTCTTACATATATTTTTAAGTCATCAGCATAGAGTAGAAAGTCACTACTGAGGAAACATTTGTCAACGTCATTAATAAAGATAACGAATAGCAGTGGACCTAGGATAGATCCCTGTGGAACGCCAGAACTTACTATAGTGGTGTTTGACTCATAACCCCCAATTGCAACCCTCTGTGTTCTACCAGAAATGTAAGACTTGAACCACCTCCACAGGTCACCCCTTATACCATTGAATGCAATCTTTTCTAGCAATTTACGATGATCTACGCGGTCAAATGCTTTGCGGAAATCTGTATAAATACTGTCAATTTGAGTATTAGCATCGAGACCTTCAAATAGATCTGTGGTATATGCTAGAAGATTTGTCACAGTTGATCGTCTCTTAACAAATCCATGTTGCTGTTGTAAGATATGATTATGTAGTAGAGGATATATAGCATTGTGGACTAGTCTCTCAAAGATTTTAGAAAGTACCGGCAGTATGGATATAGGTCGGTAATTCTCGACGTCATTTTTTGAACCACCTTTATACACAGGTACGATCCTCGCGCTCTTCCATATTTTTGGTACTACACCCTCAGTCAAACATCTATTGAAGAGATAACATAGAGGCTGATCAATAACTGTTGCAGTTTCCTTAAAGAAGATGGGTGGTATGTTATCTGCTCCGGAACCCTTAGTAATATCTAACGATTTTAATGACTTGCAGATTTCAGTTCTGGTCAAAGTAAGATTACTGATTGTAACATCCGACATGTTTCCCGATACGGTGCCAAGGTCAGCTATGGTTAAGTTTTCAGTTACATCAGAAGGCCGGTACACCGAGAGAAAAAAATTACTAAATAAATTACAGGCCTCTTCGATAGTACCAGCCCTGATCGATTTGTATTGTATATCTGTAGGTATATCTGTTGAGCGCTTGCGATGGGAAACATAACTCCAAAAATACTTTATGTTAACCTTTATGCTAGTCTCTAATAACGCCATATACTGCATGTAACATTTTTCCGACATGATCTTAAATTCCTTTCTATATCTAGAGAAAACGTTATAGTTTGACTCACTATAATACTTTTTCATTCTAATCCATGCTTGATTTTTTTTCTTACTTAATTTTATCAATTTTGCCGTGAACCAGACCGGGTACGATTGTGATTTAATAACTTGTAAAGGTATATTTTGTTTAATGATACTGTATAATTTTTCATAAAAACAGGATACCGCCTCCTCAATCTCCCTATTCATTAATAGTTCATTCCAATTTATAATAGACAACTCTTGTTTAATTTTATCGTAATTAGCTTTGTTAAAACTGTATTTGGAAGATGGCTTACGTTGGATGTAGCTACTATTACTTATGAATGGTACCGAGACCCAGAACGGGGGATGATGTTCATCTGTGGACACTAATGAATTAGGGGCCGAAAACAGTACGCAATCCAACACATTAGTGAAAAACAAATCTAATATGGTTTTATTGTGATTTTGTAATGTATTTATTTGGTAACAGTTTGATATTGTCATGAAGTTATTTATGCACCGGTGTGTTTGATTTAAATCAGCACAGCTTAGACACTTTTTGTATGGCTCCCCATTAATCCAATTCAATTTAGGTAAATTAAAATCCCCAACGACAATCAAATACTCTCCGTTATTACTTTGATCCACTAATTTTTTTTGCAAAGCATAAAAAAAGTCATTATAAACTTGATTGTTTTGCTTTGGTGGAATGTAAACAGCACCAACACAAAAACGGGTTTTAGTTAAATGTAGTTCGATAAATACTTGGTCTATGATGGAGGGGACAGGCGAGATCGATGCGAGTGCGCAGCCGGCACACAGCGCGCGCCGCACGGCAATCAGTACGCCACCACCATCGCGTCGACCGCTCGAATCTCGATCTCGGTCCGCGCGAAATATTACATATCTGCTATCAATAAACTCATTATCTGAAATATCTGTATGCAACCAAGTTTCGGTTAGTATGACAATATCGTACGAATTTGACAATACATTCATGTATAGTGTATGTAGTTTGGTTCTAAGGCCCCGGCAATTCTGGTAATAAATAGAAATATTTTTAGTGTTATCCATTTATAGTTATACCTTCATAAAGTTTAGTTGTTAGATTTGTTAGATACCCGCTCTGATTATACATGTATATTAGTGAAATAATTTGTAATATCGAGAACTGCTGTGTTTGTGTAAGTAATAGGTAATAGATAACACCGAGCAGCCAGCCATCGTTGCATTTTATTAGAATTATTATTGGAACATATATAAAGTACGAGCAAAGTATTGTTAGAAATATTTTCCGATACATAATATTACAACTACATGAAAACCTGATTGAACCTGCAAACACACACAACCCAGGAGACCCACACATTGTTAGAGTTATATAAACATAACAATACACTATAAAGTACAGATGAATGCAGCAAATATTAACCAAAGTTTCATTTAATTTTCTTGACATCGTGCTCCTTACGAACCGCAAAGATCTCGGACGAGTCCGTTTGACGCACCAATATTGTACCATTCTTAATCCATACGTATTTGTAGTTTTGTTTGGTTGCGGCCTCGCGACACATCCGAAATAATTGTTTATTCTTGCCAGTAAGATGTTCATTTATATATACATTCTGTGCAGTCCCTGATATAGACAACTGATCTGATTTTAGTCCTTTAGCTAACTTTGCCGCTTCGATGAAGTTATTACGAAGAATCTTAGTTGTAAATCTCACTATAATATTTTTCGGTCGAGTAGTTTTCCTATCGAAGTGCGGTACTCTGTGAACTGACACGACGTCGGACATTTTAATCGGATGTTTAATAAAACTCCCAAGCCTCTCTAATATGGTGACTAGATTTTCATCCCGGCGCTCAGGAACATTAGCAATTTCTACATTATATAGCCGGGCCTGCTGCTGCATAGAGTTAATTTCATATTGTAGGTCAGGTAGTTGACTTATTACATCTATGTTTTGCTTCATTTTTTCTTCCATTTCACGCAATCGTGTATCAAAAGAATCCTGACGATCCATAGCATAAGATAATGATTGTTCAACATTGTCCAATCGATCGCTGACTTGCTTGATCAAATCACTGAAAGAAGCCCTCATTTTCTCCATCTCTTGCTCCATGATAGATTGCATAGAGGTTTTTATTGTTGTAGCTATAGATATTTCCAGCTCATTTTTCCATGCATTTAGTTTCTCATCAATTTTATTTTCGAGGCTTACCCGCATGTCGTCTATATTACAATCGTCCCCGCTGTCGGGCTGTTTACGTTTGTGCGAGTTTAATTTACGTGAACTGACAAATGCCTTGTCACTATTTCGCAGTGATTCGGGCAAATCAGGATTAGACGAAACCTTTGGGAGTAGGCCCGCAGTCTTTAATGGTGATGGTCGCTGCATCGTTTATCTTCAAAGGGCCAGGTATGCGGAGATTAGGTTGTGACGTTCGTGCTTACTGCGGTCGCAGCTCGTAGATGCAGTGCAATGAGGTGACAGCAGGAGCGTTTACAATATTATGCTTGTTTTTGCACTCCAATGTTTAACTAAAATCGCACTCAAAGTACTTTTCACCGTAACGATCGGAAACACGTCCGTATCTCACCGGTTCAACGAACGAAAATCGCGGGTTACTCACGAGAAAATATTGAGAAAAGCTCTACTAGTTTCGAGGTACAGAGAGGCTTTTCCTTATAAGCAGCGTCGGTCGCGGCGATGTCGTGCAGTCTACTCGAAAAAAAACCTCTTTGTGGCTCGAAATTAGTATAGAGCTTATCTCAGTATTTTCACGTGGGTAACCCGCGGTTTCTAGTTAACGCATAATTATAATGTTACCAGACGCACTGGTCTACGTAAAAACAATAGTATAATTTATCATTCTACCTTCGACAGATAAATAAACCTTTATTTCTGTACAAAGCACTCAAAGTACCATCAAATGGATTCTATTTTTAATGCCCCCGCTCTGGATGGAGTTAGACCGAGGACAATCGATTAGAACTAAATATATCTCGGCAACTGCCTCTCTACCTAAACGGTTCATTCTAGGATTTCAGATCTCGTTAAGTCTTTTGTGATTACGTACATTTGAATTTAAGAGTTTGTTACAGAATTAGTGACAAAGTTGTGTTAGGTACCTGTTTATGGTGATAAAATATTTTAGCGAATAATTTAAACCAATAAATGACCTTGTTGGCCAAGTGCTCGCGAGTGCGACTGCCGGGCAAGGGTATGGCAATAGGCTCACCCCTATTACATGAGACTCATTACATAAATAGTGAAAAGTGAGTGTTTCATTGTACAGTGGAATTAAGTGCTGTAATGTGCACCTCTGCCTTCCCTTTCGGGGATAAAAGGCGTAATGTTATGTAACTTAAATCTAAATATTTTTGATTCTATAGAATCTTTATATTTTTTTTTACTCACTATTACACAAACCCTTCCTTCTCACTTAATTCCTTAGCTTCCTTCTTCTCACTTATCCTTATATCATCTAAAATCAATAGTAACTTGATGCTTTTACTCTTTTTATCACCATCGCCACGACTTCTTCATACTTATACTACACCATCATTTCCAGAATGTATCTGCAAACAACCATACAAATAAAATTATCAACAATCACCATAAAACCGTTCATAACTCCAAAAATTTATCGTCACATGTACCAATAAAACAAAAGCAGTTTTAAATGCTTTTTAATGTCAATAGCCCACGGACAATCGGACCAAATGACTTGATTCAGTTGAGAGTGGTGTGTTGGTATCTGTTCTGATAACACGTTGTACTATCTCTGTTACTGACAGTTGTCACATGTGATTGAGTGTTGTAATTAGTCATCGTAGTTTATTGTTGTTTTTTGTTTATAGTTTTTGTTATTTGTTTTGACTGGTGTGGTACATTTTGGGTGGTCTTTGATGATGATTGTCTATCGTATTTTTTGGGAAACTATCTATTTTTTTAACCAAGTCTATGCTTTCGATAGTATATTTATTTAAACTTAAACGATAACACTTAAGCGAAATATCCTGTCAATTAATGAACCACACAATTACATGACACCTTGATAGAAACACAAACATATAACACACTTCAAAACTCGTTAAAACGCAAAAATTCACGGTGTCTATCCATGAATACACTACACCCATTCTGCGCCACTTCTTCCGACGAAAACCGCACAAAAATTGTCGGAAACTGGACAAAACCGGACAAAACAAAACGTGCACGTACCGTACGGGTTGTCGGTGTAAATGTAGCAATACTAGCAATTCGTCGCTACCTGCACACTGCGCCGGCCGGACATTGAATGTTTGCTCAATTTCACATCGCTACTATTGTTTTTAGAAATACAGTTATTTTTTATTTGGTAATCTCATACTGAAATACTTGGTAGAGTGAGCTTTAATTGGATGTACCTATCACAATGTGGGTCCAATCATTGTATTAATGAAAAGTAGGGCATAAATATCAAGTAAATACGTATCAACAGTACTTTACCCAAGAAGAACTGAACTGCCTCGTTGGCCGAGTGGTCGCAAGTGCGAGTGCCGAGCAAGGGGTCTCGAGTTTGATTCCCGGGTCGGGCAAAGTATTACTGGGTTTTTTCAATAAATCTCAGTAGTAGCACGAAGTCTGGAAGTCTGGGTGTTTCATTGTACAGTGACATTAAGTTCCGAAATGTGCACCTCTGCCTACCCCTTTGGGGATAAAAAGGCGTGATGTTATGTTATGTGAAATAGAGTACATCAAAGTTAAACCTATATTCATGATAATTCATAACTAATTACATCTCAATGAAATTATTTCTGATAGATTAAACGTCAATAAACAAAAAACAAAACGGTATGATAAAATAAATCCGAGAGCGAGTTATCATCGCAAAACCGTCGAGTTACAATAGCAGAGGGCTTCCATTTTAGTTCGGAGCCGGATGTAAAATCGATACAATGGGCACACAGCAAGATTGTAGACATTTGGTGCATGCCCCGACCGATGAAAAAACGGAAAACCGTTTATTATTTCAACGTTCATTTCACACTGCAGGTTTACTTTAAAAACGATGATTATTTATTCACTCTTTGTACTCAGAAATATCTTTCACTCTCCTTAGTTTTACTGCAATAATTTTTATAGTAAAGTCAAAACAGAAATAAACTTCAGTAATTTTATTTGAAGTTGCAGATATGTATTGTGTTTTCAATGAATGAAATGTCCGGTTTAAATGAGGGCATTTTTTTATTGTATATACACAAGCTATATATATTTCGTCCTTATTATAGGCAGTAGCTATAGGCAGTTATTTAGATGTATGGGTGCATAGATTTAATAGCTTTAGGAGACACTAAATTAGGTTGTGTCTTATTTAATAAGCTTATCATCTAGAAGGTTTTATTCTATTACACGCTGTGACAATAAACAATAAAAATTAATGGATGAATCTATTTTATATTCAGAGACTATAATTGAATTCTACGTCATGTTTGATTAACTTACAAGTGACAGAGAATCGAGAAATTTGTATCTACAAAATCGATTACTTCATGAATATAAAACGGTCCTTTTAAAAAACTCTTAACGTCAAAGTTAAGCATAATACTAAAAAAGTAAATCTAAACATTAAAAAAGATATTCATTCAGAACTTCTTCAGCTTTTCCTTTGGGATAGAGCCGCATAATACGTTTTGTTGTGCGATGTCGTCGCGGTCCCTCGACGATGTCGTTCCGACGTCGTCTCGCCTTTAAAGTTACCTAACTGTATGTAGAATGTTGCTTTTAAATTGATCAATTTAAGAGAGACTTACTCTGTGAGACTTGTTTATTCTTAAATAAGTTGGAGTCTTAGAAAGGTAGCTTTGTGAAGAGTAGATGGAGAAATACTGGGAATTTGGAATTGAAAATTGGTTTCTTTTATAAGATAAGCCGGTAAACGGGTAGACGGATCACCTGATGGTAAGCAATCGGCGTCGCCCATGGACACCTGGAACACCAGAGGCGTTACAAGTCGTAGTTTGGCCTTTTGGGGATTAGGAGTTTGAGGATCGTTGGGGATTCAGGAATTGGGGAGACTGAGGAAGGAGGTAATTAGGCCTCCGGTAACCTCACTCACATGACGAAACACACCGCAAGCGTTGTTTCACGTCTGTTTTCTGTGAAGCCGTGGTATCACTCCGGTCGAGCCGGCCCTATCGTGCCGAAGCATGGCTCTCCCACACTTAAGAATGTTGCTTTATTTCTTACTTTGGAAATTGTATAAATGTCTTCTCAGACATAAGTACTATTTGTAAATATAACAGGAAACTTTACATTTATAACAACCGAAATGATCTTCTTATTATTCACAACACTTAATCCATGTAAAAGCAAAAAATCCTGTCCATAAAACCTCGCAAGTTCATAAATCGAAAATTTCCTCTCCGATCCCGAAGGAACACGCCATTAACTCGAAATTGCCGCTGAACATCTCAATTACCATAAAAACTTTTGGAAAACTAAAAAATCCGCAAACAAAAGGGGTTTTAAATCAAACACAATGAAGTTTGCCGTCTAACTAGGGGCGTACCATAACTCATTCCGTCGATAATCACATCATAATTTATATAGCACGCCCCCCGTAGCCGCCCGCTAATATTAAAGTGGTGTAATGTCCCCGTGATCAGTTTTAAAATGTAAATTTATTGCTCGACGCGACGTGTTACGAGGATTTATGTCCTCCTCAATATCGTTGAGGTTTTATGATGGAATTTTATTACTTGTATGGACTATTTTCGGGGAGTGACTTCGTTATGACACGTAATCGGGTTACTGCTGTGATTGGCATGAAATTGGTGCTTAAAATTTTGTCGGTTCGTCTAGGACGGGCCATATTTTTAGAAGATAAGTCTGTTATTTCCTTTTCGCAAAATCTTAATTTAATACATAGTTTTTGTACTACAACTGTTAAAGCCTTGTGTTAAAAATATTATTGTCAAACCTACAATAAGCCTTAAGAACCTTAAGCCTAACAGATCGAATATTATCATCATGCACACCGAACTTAGATTAAAATATACCTGCAAATCCCAAAGCAACGAAGCAAATAGGCACGTATGATTTATACAAATTCTAACATAAATGACTATCTACTATTGGGTCACATTCAAAACGTACCACATAATGTACTCGAATCGTAATAAGGATAAGTTTAAAATTGAACTATCGAATAGGCTCCGATAGATTTTGGTCACGCAAAATGCAAATTTCGGAAAAGCGAATCGGATACGAACGGAATTGTAGCGTACTATGGAAATATTTTACAAAACAGATTGACTTATAAATCTTATATTTTGCCATACTGTGTAATAAATGGTGGACAAAGTTTTAAAAAATTTAAATGTATTGTGTTGTGTATTTTGCTGTTTTAT